TCGGTCCACATGTCGCCACATATCACCAGTGTCCCTACATAAAGCCGCCAGGGGAGAGTGCTCCTACAGGGAGGGGCTAGCGGACCCCTAAGGCAAGGGGGGGGGGGGGAAGTGAGGTATATAATAAGGGGAAAAATACAATTAAAATGGTAATTAAAAATTCCTTATGAGATTGTGTGTCATGAATACTTCCCCTGGAAGATGTAAAGAGACAGCACTCAGGTGACAGGTAGCTGGTGACAGGTGACAGGTGCCTGGTGACAGGTGACAGGTGACAGGAGGCTGGTTACAGGAGACAGGAGGCTGGTGAGAGGAGACAGGTGCCTGGTGACAGGTGACAGGAGGCTGGTGACAGGTGACAGGAGACTGGTGACAGGTGACAGGAGACTGGTGACAGGTGACAGGAGACTGGTGACAGGTGACAGGTGCCTGTTGACAGGTGACAGGAGGCTGGTGACAGGAGACAGGTGCCTGGTGACAGGAGACAGGTGCCTGGTGACAGGTGACAGGAGGCTGGTGACAGGTGACAGGTGGCTGGTGACAGGAAACGGGTTGCTAGTGACTGAAGACAGGTGGCAGAAGACAGGTGGCTGTTGACAGGAGGCTATAGTGACTGGTGTCATGTCACTGCATCAAATGACAGTGTCAAGCCACAGTTTCAAATCACAGTGTCAATTCACTCGACAGCAGAGACTGCAAAATTTTTGAAGATCTCCTAACAATCCTTTTCTCAGACTTGTGCTTCCGGTAACCCAACCAGGTTATTTATTTAACGTTTAAACTCAAACTAGATAGAACCATTATGTCAACAGTATTGAACACAGGAGAAATATTAACTGCCTCACTTGTAGCGTGTAGAGTAAATACTCTTAAAGGTTTACCACCTGAGCGAACTTGGTGGACCACCAGAGGAGGTCGCTCACAACACAAGACGCTCAGTTATTAGAAATTTATGATAGCAGCTCCATGCTTGTTGAATAGGTAAATAGATGTTATCTGTAACCAGTCAGATCCCGTCTTAATTCAGTAGTGTGAGAGAGAGAGAGAGAGAGAGAGAGAGAGAGAGAGAGAGAGAGAGAGAGAGAGAGAGAGGGGGGGGGGGGGGGGCAGGCCAGCAGCTTCCACCCCTCACAAAACCTTTCCCCGCGCACCGATCACTAAGTACCTCAATCACACTAATTGAAAATTCCATTGAAGCAATTATCCTTATGGACTATAGCGTAAAATTTAGAAACAATCCTATCAACTCTTCTCATTTTTCTCTTCATCAGTTTCCAGTCGCACGTTCCTGGCCAGCCCCGTTCCTGGCCAGCCCCGTTCCTGGCCAGTCCCGTTCCTGGCCAGCCCCGTTCCTGGCCAGCCCCGTTCCTGACCAGCCCCGTTCCTGTCCAGCCCCGTTCCTGGCCAGTCCCGTTCCTGGCCAGCCCCGTTCCTGGCCAGCCCCGTTCCTGGCCAGTCTCGTTCCTGGCCAGCCCCGTTCCTGACCAGCCCCGTTCCTGTCCAGCCCCGTTCCTGGCCAGCCCGTTCCTGGCCAGCCCCGTTCCTGGCCAGCCCCGTTCCTGGCCAGTCTCGTTCCTGGCCAGCCCCGTTCCTAGCCAGCCCCGTTCCTGGCCAGCCCGTTCCTGGCCAGCCCCGTTCCTGGCCAGTCCCGTTCCTGGCCACCCTGTTGCTGGCCACCCTGTTGCTGGCCACCCTGTTGCTGGCCACCCTGTTGCTGGCCACCCTGTTGCTGGCCACCCTGTTGCTGGCCACCCTGTTGCTGGCCACCCTGTTGCTGGCCACGCTGTTGCTGGCCACCCTGTTTCTGGCCACCCTGTTGCTGGCCACCCTGTTGCTGGCCACCCTGTTGCTGGCCACCCTGTTGCTGGCCACCCTGTTGCTGGCCACCCTGTTGCTGGCCACCCTGTTGCTGGCCACCCTGTTGCTGGCCACCCTGTTGCTGGCCACCCTGTTGCTGGCCACCCAGTTGCTGGCCACCCTGTTGCTGGCCACCCTGTTGCTGGCCACCCTGTTGCTGGCCACCCAGTTGCTGGCCACCCTGTTGCTGGCCACCCTGTTGCTGGCCACCCTGTTGCTGGCCACCCTGTTGCTGGCCACCCTGTTGCTGGCCACCCTGTTGCTGGCCACCCTGTTGCTGGCCACCCTGTTGCTGGCCACCCTGTTGCTGGCCACCCTGTTGCTGGCCACCCTGTTGCTGGCCACCCTGTTGCTGGCCACCCTGTTGCTGGCCACCCTGTTGCTGGCCACCCTGTTGCTGGCCACCACTGTTGCTGGCCACCCTGTTGCTGGCTGTTGCCACCCTGTTGCTGGCCACCCTGTTGCTGGCCACCCTGTTGCTGGCCACCCTGTTGCTGGCCACCCTGTTGCTGGCCACCCTGTTGCTGGCACCCTGTTGCTGGCCACCCTGTTGCTGGCCACCCTGTTGCTGGCCACCCTGTTGCTGGCCACCCCACCCTGTTGCTGGCCACCTGTTGCTGTGTTGCTGGCCACCCTGTTGCTGGCCACCCTGTTGCTGGCCACCCTGTTGCTGGCCACCCTGTTGCTGGCCACCCTGTTGCTGGCCACCCTGTTGCTGGCCACCCTGTTGCTGGCCACCCTGTTGCTGGCCACCCTGTTGCTGGCCACCCTGTTGCTGGCCACCTGTTGCTGGCCACCCTGTGCTGGCCACCCTGTTGCTGGCCACCCTGCTGGCCACCCTGTTGCTGGCCACCCTGTTGCTGGCCACCCTGTTGCTGGCCACCCTGTTGCTGGCCACCCTGTTGCTGGCCACCCTGTTGCTGGCCACCCTGTTGCTGGCCACCCTGTTGCTGGCCACCCTGTTGCTGGCCACCCTGTTGCTGGCCACCCTGTTGCTGGCCACCCTGTTGCTGGCCACCCTGTTGCTGGCCACCCTGTTGCTGGCCACCCTGTTGCTGGCCACCCTGTTGCTGGCCACCCTGTTGCTGGCCACCCTGTTGCTGGCCACCCTGTTGCTGGCCACCCTGTTGCTGGCCACCCTGTTGCTGGCCACCCTGTTGCTGGCCACCCTGTTGCTGGCCACCCTGTTGCTGGCCACCCTGTTGCTGGCCACCCTGTTGCTGGCCACCCTGTTGCTGGCCACCCTGTTGCTGGCCACCCTGTTGCTGGCCACCCTGTTGCTGGCCACCCTGTTGCTGGCCACTCTGTTGCTGGCCACCCTGTTGCTGGCCACCCTGTTGCTGGCCACCCTGTTGCTGGCCACCCTGTTGCTGGCCACCCTGTTGCTGGCCACCCTGTTGCTGGCCACCCTGTTGCTGGCCACCCTGTTGCTGGCCACCCTGTTGCTGGCCACCCTGTTGCTGGCCACCCTGTTGCTGGCCACTGTTGCTGGCCACCTGGCCACCCTGTTGCTGGCCACCCTGTTGCTGGCCACCCTGTTGCTGGCCACCCTGTTGCTGGCCACCCTGTTGCTGGCCACTCTGTTGCTGGCCACCCTGTTGCTGGCCACCCTGTTGCTGGCCACCCTGTTGCTGGCCACCCTGTTGCTGGCCACCCTGTTGCTGGCCACCCTGTTGCTGGCCACCCTGTTGCTGGCCACCCTGTTGCTGGCCACCCTGTTGCTGGCCACCCTGTTGCTGGCCACTCTGTTGCTGGCCACCCTGTTGCTGGCCACCCTGTTGCTGGCCACTCTGTTGCTGGCCACCCTGTGTTGCTGGCCACCCTGTTGCTGGCCACTCTGTTGCTGGCCACCCTGTTGCTGGCCTGCTGGCCACTCTGTTGCTGGCCACCCTGTTGCTGGCCACTCTGTTGCTGGCCACCCTGTTGCTGGCCACCCTGTTGCTGGCCACTCTGTTGCTGGCCACCCTGTTGCTGGCCACCCTGTTGCTGGCCACCCTGTTGCTGGCCACTCTGTTGCTGGCCACCCTGTTGCTGGCCTACCTGCCGTTCTCAGGTGAACATTTCGGGCTCAAAAAAGGGCTTTGCTAACTAAGATCAAATATCGTGAACATGTGATGCGGTCGACCCACTCCAGTGGTGTGGTGCTGTGGAGGGTCAGTGGTGTGGTGCTGTGGAGGGTCAGTGGTGTGGTGCTGTGGAGGGTCAGTGGTGTGGTGCTGTGGAGGGTCAGTGGTGTGGTGCTGTGGAGGGTCAGTGGTGTGGTGCTGTGGAGGGTCAGTGGTGTGGTGCTGTGGAGGGCCAGTGGTGTGGTGCTGTGGAGGGTCTGTGGTGTGGTGCTGTGGAGGGTCAGTGGTGTGGTGCTGTGGAGGGTCAGTGGTGTGGTGCTGTGGAGGGTCAGTGGTGTGGTGCTGTGGAGGGTCAGTGGTGTGGTGCTGTGGAGGGCCAGTGGTGTGGTGCTGTGGAGGGTCAGTGGTGTGGTGCTGTGGAGGGTCAGTGGTGTGGTGCTGTGGAGGGTCAGTGGTGTGGTGCTGTGGAGGGTCAGTGGTGTGGTGCTGTGGAGGGTCAGTGGTGTGGTGCTGTGGAGGGTCAGTGGTGTGGTGCTGTGGAGGGTCAGTGGTGTGGTGCTGTGGAGGGTCAGTGGTGTGTGTGCTGTGGAGGGTCAGTGGTGTGGTGCTGTGGAGGGTCAGTGGTGTGGTGCTGTGGAGGGCCAGTGGTGTGGTGCTGTGGAGGGTCTGTGGTGTGGTGCTGTGGAGGGTCAGTGGTGTGGTGCTGTGGAGGGTCAGTGGTGTGGTGCTGTGGAGGCTCAGTGGTGTGGTGCTGTGGAGGGTCTGTGGTGTGGTGCTGTGGAGGGTCAGTGGTGTGGTGCTGTGGAGGGTCAGTGGTGTGGTGCTGTGGAGGGCCAGTGGTGTGGTGCTGTGGAGGGTCAGTGGTGTGGTGCTGTGGAGGGTCAGTGGTGTGGTGCTGTGGAGGGCCAGTGGTGTGGGTGGAGGGTCAGTGGTGTGGTGCTGTGGAGGGTCAGTGGTGTGGTGCTGTGGAGGGTCAGTGGTGTGGTGCTGTGGAGGGTCAGTGGTGTGGTGCTGTGGAGGGTCAGTGGTGTGGTGCTGTGGAGGGTCTGTGGTGTGGTGCTGTGGAGGGTCAGTGGGATGGGGCTGAAGAGAACACAAAGAAGAAGAGGGTTTGTCTTTAGCCAACAATGGCTGCAAGAGTCAGATAAGAGAATTAGCTGTGATTCTGAGAAAGTTATGGTCAGCTGGTTGTGTGTGTGTGTGTGTGTGTGTGTGTGTGTGTGTGTGTGTGTGTGTGTGTGTGTGTGTGTGTGTGTGTGTGCCTCTGGTGTTAGATCTCAAGTTATGTCCACTCCTAAGTCTTTCTCCTTTTCAGAAGTTGAAATTGCCTGCCTTTCATCCTGGATATGCTGGATTTGAGTTTTTTTTTTTGTTGCAACATGTCTCTTCGTAACATTACATTTGTCGGGGTTGAAGTCTATTAGCCATTTGTATCACTCCATTTCAGGATATTATCTAGTTTCATCTTGAAATGTATTGCAATCCTCATCAGTTCTGATGCGCCTCAAGAAAGTTTAGCATCGTTGAGCAAACTTGGATAAGAATGAGATGCACTCCCGACCGTCTGTGCTACACTCATTACCTCTCCATTCTGATAGTTCTCCTCCTACTCTTTGTCTTCTTCCTGATAGTAGAAGACAAAGTACTCATAGGTACTCCTTCTCCCACTTTGGCACTTTTTCCAATACACCTACAACCTGTTTTTTGACTTTGCATACAAGAATCGCTTGGGAGGAACAGTGTCAAAAGCTTTCTGCCAATCCTGGAAAATGCAGTCTGCCCTCTCTCTCTCTCTCTCTCTCTCTCTCTCTCTCTCTCTCTCTCTCTCTCTCTCTCTCTCTCTCTCTCTCTCTCTCCTGTTTGAATGTTGTCACCTTCTCACAGAACTCTGGTAAGTTGGTTAAGCAAGATTTTACTTGGCTGAATCCGTGTTGATGCTTGGAAACAACATTTATATGTTCTAAATGATCGACACGTCTTTGTTTATTGATCTTTCCAATATCATAAAGAAAATACTTGTTGGTGATACTGGTCTGTAGTTCAATGGTTCCTGTCTTGTTCCTTTATTGAGCTGGACAGGAGAGTTTCTTGAGAGAGAGAGAGAGAGAGAGAGAGAGAGAGAGAGAGAGAGAGAAGAGAGAGAGAGAGAGAGAGAGAGAGAGAGAGAGAGAGAGAGAGAGAGAGAGAGAGAGAGAGAGAGAGAGAGAGAGAGAGAGAGAGAGAGAGAGAGACCATTAGATCATCGAAAGTTAGAAAAGCGGGGTAAAATAACTTATTATTATTATTTTCTACCACAGACGTGGCCACACATTTACAATGCTAACCAGCATATATACATTTTCTTCTGTCCTCCATGGACAGGGTGAGAGATCTGTTAAACATGTAGTTCAGGGATTTATTGAACAGACACAAAGTAATTATAGTGCTTTTAAAATGCTAATCTAACCTACATACATATATACACAGACTTACTTCTGTCCTATATACACCGTGTTCGAGATATCTCTTGACAGTGGAGGGAGATATCTTTTGACTAGCTGCTATAGAAACTAGTGTGTTATTAAACACTTATATCCACTGAAGGTGATGAAGATGCTTTTACAAACACAGGTTACAGTTACTTAGCATACATGGTATAACTGTTGCATTACATGGGCAGTCAGTCTTGGGTACAAGTTCAGTATATCATCAAGTGTTCCAGTACTTTAAATATTGTCTACAGAGTTCAGCATATATAAACCCAGAGGGAGGAGGGGGGGAGGGGGTAGAAAGCAGTATGGATAACAGGTCTATCTACTACGACAGGTCTATCGTGTAGGGATATATGTATCAGGGAAATAGCAAATGCCCACACACACACACACACACGGGGGCCTCGTAGCCTGGTGGATAGCGCGCAGGACTCGTAATTCTGTGGGGCGGGTTCGATTCCCGCACGAGGCAGAAACAAATGGGCAAAGTTTCTTTCACCCTAAGTGCCCCTGTTACCTAGCAGTAAATAGGTACCTGGGAGTTAGTCAGCTGTCACGGGCTGCTTCCTGGGGTGTGTGTGTGTGTGTGGTGTGGAAAAAAAAAAAAAAAAAAAAAAAAAAAAAAAAAAAAAAAAAAAAAAAAAAAAAAAAAAAAAAAAAAAGTAGTTAGTAAACAGTTGATTGACAGTTGAGAGGCGGGCCGAAAGAGCACAACTAGTAAACACACACACACACACACCCACACACCCACACAAACACCCCCCACACCCCCCACACCCACATACCCACACACACACACACCCCCCACACCCACACACACCCACACACCCACACACCCACACACACACCCACACCCACCCACACACCTGCCCTCCCCCACACAGACGGTGGGGGGCAGTAATGAAGGCCGTACTCACAGGTGACGCCCCTCTCGAGGTCCTCGTAGTAGGAGCAGCGGGCGAGGTCCCCCAGCACGGGGGAGGGGAGGCGGGCCAAGGGCCTCACGCTCCGCAGGCGGGAGGTGATCGCCGACACGTCCACCTCGCTCCTCTCCTCCGGCCTGTAGGACGACACCACTCCGTCAGGCACCAGTTATCACCCGGCCGTGGGGAAGGGGGGGAGGATTACTGGGGGGAGGGATTACTGGGGGAGGGATTACCGGGGGATTAGTGGGGGAGGGATTACTGGGGAGGGATTAATGGGGGGTTACTGGGGAGGGATTAATGGGGAGGGATTAATGGGGGTTTACTGGGGGAGGGATTACTGGGGAGGAATTACTGGAGGGGATTAGTGGAGGAGGAATTCCTGGGGGGAGGGATTACTGGGGGGAGGGATTACTGGGGGAGGAATTACTGGGGGAGGGATTACTAGGGGAAGGGATTACTGGAGAGAATTTACTGGGGGGAGGGATTAGTGGGGGGGAGGGATTAGTGGGGGGAGGGATTAGTGGGGGGAGGGATTACTGGGGGAGGGATTACTGGGGAGAGGGATTACTGGGGGAGGGATTACTGGGGGGATGGAAGGGAGGATGGGAAGGGGGAGTTGAGAAGTCTTCCCCTATTCTCTCATGCACCGGAAACTCTTTCGCATATCAAAAATATTTTATTGGACGGAGGTCTTTATTTTGTGACTCCTAATTAAGAAACATGATTTTATAATGGATTTTTTTCATAACTGAACAATTTTTGTTACATTCTCAAATATTTTGAACATGAAATTGCGTAACAAATGAATTGCAAAACGCATTTAACATGACATTATAATCGAGTGATATATATTAACAAAAAGCAAAATACACATTGCTTAAAATACGAATGATTTGACTTCCAAAGACAATATGTACACCTTAAACCAGCACAGACTTACCTTAAACCAGCTCAGACTTTGCTTAAACCAGCACAAACTTACCTTAAACCAGCACAGACTTACCTTAAACCAGCACAGACTTACCTTAAACCAGCTCAGACTTTGCTTAAACCAGCACAAACTTACCTTAAACCAGCACAGACTTACCTTAAACCAGCTCAGACTTTGCTTAAACCAGCACAGACTTACCTTAAACCAGCTCAGACTTTGCTTAAACCAGCACAGACTTACCTTAAACCAGCTCAGACTTTGCTTAAACCAGCACAGACTTACCTTAAACCAGCTCAGACTTACCTTAAACCAGCACAGACTTACCTTAAACCAGCTCAGACTTTGGTTAAACCAGCACAGACTTACCTTAAACCAGCACAGACTTACCTTAAACCAACACAGACTTACCTTAAACCAACACAGACTTACCTTAAACCAGCTCAGACTTACCTTAAACCAACACAGACTTACCTTAAACCAGCTCAGACTTTGCTTAAACCAGCACAGACTTACCTTAAACCAGCACAGACTTACCTTAAACCAACACAGACTTATCTTAAACCAGCACAGACTTACCTTAAACCAACACAGACTTATCTTAAACCAACACAGACTTACCTTAAACCAACACAGACTTATCTTAAACCAACACAGACTTACCTTAAACCAACTCAGACTTCTTGAGGTTATCTTGAGATGATTTCGGGGCTTTAGTGTCCCCGCGGCCCGGTCCTCGACCAGGCCTCCACCCCCAGGAAGCAGCCTGTGACAGCTGACTAACACCCAGGTACCTATTTTACTGCTAGGTAACAGGGGCATAGGGTGAAAGAAACTCTGCCCATTGTTTCTCGCCGGCGCCTGGGATCGACCCCAGGACCACAGGATCACAAGACCAGCGTGCTGTCCGCTCGGCCGACCGGCTCCCGACTTACCTTAAACCAACACAGACTTACCTTAAACCAGCACAGACTTACCTTAAACCAGCAAAGACTTACCTTAAACCAGCACAGACTTACCTTAAACCAGCAAAGACTTACCTTAAACCAGCACAGACTTACCTTAAACCAGCACAGACTTATCTTAAACCAGCACAGACTTACCTTAAACCAGCAAAGACTTACCTTAAACCAGCACAGACTTACCTTAAACCAGCACAGACTTACCTTAAACCAGCACAGACTTACCTTAAACCAACACAAACTTACCTTAAACCAGCACAGACTTATCTTAAACCAGCACAGACTTACCTTAAACCAACACAAACTTACCTTAAACCAACACAAACTTACCTTAAACCAGCACAGACTTACCTTAAACCAGCACAGACTTACCTTAAACTAACACAGACTTACCTTAAACCAACACAGACTTACCTTAAACCAACACAAACTTACCTTAAACCAACACAAACTTACCTTAAACCAGCACAGACTTACCTTAAACTAACACAGACTTACCTTAAACCAACACAGACTAACCTTAAACCAGCACAGACAGCTGTGGATGTATGAAGCAGTGAAGTGGATTTATTTACATATGAAGCACATGAAGGAGTACACAATACAGCCAGAAACCCTCACTGGCAACCCGTTCTCGCACTTGCTTATAGTCAATATTGACTTATTTAATAAGTGCATATGTGACATACTAATTGATTGTGAATATTTTAGTTTACCTTGAAAAGCTTCATAGAAAACACCGACCTCACCTAACCTTCTTAGTATGTTAAGCTAAGCATCTTATTGCTTCTTATTTACAATTATTTCTTAACCTATCAACGGTATAGGTTAAGTAAGAAGCTTTTCAAGGTAAACTAAAATATTCACAATCAATTTGTATGTCACATATGCACTTATTAAATAAGCCAATATTGACTATAAGCAAGTGCGAGAACGGGTTGCACTGAAAGCAGCTAACGAGCCAACAGCCTTGGAATGACAACGCCTGAAAACGTCAACGTTGACACAAAAGGAGCCACAGCTGAGACAACCATTTGTCTTCAAGTCTCCTGCCTACAAATCTAAAATCTGTCGCTCTGGTACAACTGGTACAAGTTCCTGCTGGAGTTCGCGGATCAGCCTGGCTGTGATGGCTATGTGATGGCCTTCTGGCTATAAAAACCGCCTCTCAGACCAGGTAATCGCTAAGGGGAAGGCTGGCCACAGGTCAGACTGAAAGAGTAACTAGAACTCTCGAAATAGTCCACAGGTAAACCAGCGCTCGATGTGTATATCGCTGTCTGTCCGGGGCTGGTAATGGTGGTGATAATGAGGAAAATTATAATGACGATGATGATAAGGATGATATATAATGACGATGATAAGGCCGGTATATAATGACGACGATGATAAGACCGATATATAATGACGACGATGATAAGACCGATATATAATGACGACGATGATAAGACCGATATATAATGACGAACGACGATGATAAGACCAATATATAATGACGACGATGATAAGACCGATATATAATGACGACGATGATAAGACCGATATATAATGACGACGCCCTCAAACTAATTCACTCAACACAACTGCCCATAAATAATGTAACTTTTTGAACATTTACAAAAGTAGTTTTGGACAGATATAATTTCGGTCTAATTTAATAACGATTCATCAACGCATTCATTTATTTACTCATCAAAAGCCGAAAAAGAGTTATTATGTATTTTAATTAATAAATCCAACTGCCGGCTATGCTTTTTTCTAGGGGTATAAAATGGGATTGGAACTTACTGTACAAAGATTATATTCAACTTTTGGGTAATAGGTAATATCTCATTATTTTTTTTGACTTCCACACACCCCTGAGAGTCTCAGGGGTGTGTGGGGGTTGTGTTTAAGGTTCCCCCTTAAAGTTAAGGGCTGTAGGAATGCAGGAGGTGGGACTCTGGGAGGTCCTTGGTGGTGGTGGTGGGTCGAGGTGGTCCCTAGTGGTGGTGGTGGGTCGAGGAGGTCCCTAGTGGTGGTGGTGGGTCGAGGAGGTCCCTAGTGGTGGTGGTGGTGGGTCGAGGTGGTCCCTAGTGGTGGTGGTGGTGGGTCGAGGAGGTCCCTGGTGGTGGTGGTGGTGGGTCGAGGAGGTCCCTGGTGGTGGTGGTGGTGGGTCGAGGTGGTTCCTGGTGGTGGTGGTGGTGGTGGGTCGAGGTGGTCCCTAGTGGTGGTGGTGGGTCGAGGAGGTCCCTAGTGGTGGTGGGTCGAGGTGGTCCCTAGTGGTGGTGGTGGGTCGAGGAGGTCCCTAGTGGTGGTGGTGGTGGGTCGAGGAGGTCCCTAGTGGTGGTGGTGGTGGTGGGTCGAGGAGGTCCCTGGTGGTGGTGGTGGTGGGTCGAGGTGGTCCCTAGTGGTGGTGGTGGTGGGTCGAGGAGGTCCCTGGTGGTGGTGGTGGTGGGTCGAGGTGGTCCCTGGTGGTGGTGGTGGTGGGTCGAGGTGGTCCCTAGTGGTGGTGGTGGTGGTGGGTCGAGGTGGTCCCTGGTGGTGGTGGTGGTGGGTCGAGGTGGTCCCTGGTGGTGGTGGTGGTGGGTCGAGGTGGTCCCTGGTGGTGGTGGTGGTGGGTCGAGGTGGTCCCTGGTGATAGTGGTGGGTCGAGGTGGTCCCTGGTGGTGGTGGTGGTGGGTCGAGGTGGTCCCTGGTGGAGGCGGGCCACAGTGGTGGTTGTGGTGGACCTGGAAGGTCGGGTCTGGAAACTGGTGCCAGGGAGAGCACTGGTGAAAGGAAACTGTTAGGAAAGTTATATAAGAATGTGTGTGTGTGTCGAGCGTTGTGGGGGGGGGGGTAATGGGGGCAGGAGGGGGAGTCTGTGGGGGTTGAATGAGGGGGGAGACCTTTCGGAACAGTGCTGGAAGGAGGAGGAAGGAAAGGAGAGATAAAATGAGTATGGAAAAGTAGTAGTGTGAAGGGACGAGGGATGGCGGAAGAACTCCTCTACACACCAGCCTGAACGTCAGTAAGTTGCACAACGTTCGCTTGGTATCAGCTCGATGCCTCACCACCTTTAGTGGATCAGTTGAAGCCCAAGCCCGATACTTAGAGCGTATCGTGGTGCAGTGGTGTAAGGCCTGTGCTTGGGAGTACCCATACGGTGTTGGTTGGAATCCTCAGCATGGCTCCGATTCATTTTTCTCTCTGATTCATCACGTTAGCGAGATTTCTCTGTGCGTGTGTAAATTATCATGAGCAGCTGAACACCGGGACTGACTGAGTAGGCAGCTGACCTACCCAGAGGTCCCTCAGGTATCCAGAGGTACCCAGATGTACCCAGAGGTACCCACAGGTACCCAGATGTACCCAGAGGTACCCACAGGTACCTACAGGTACCCACAGGTACCCAGAGGTGTGTGTATGGGCTGAAGGCTCATCAGGGTCCATCAGCATGTGTTGATATAACGCCTGCATCATATAAGCTTCAGTAATTCATTATATATAACCTATAACAAAGACCGCGAAGGTCAGAAATATGTGCATAAAGACGGTCAATAAAGACCTTAAGAGCAAGAGATGAACACTAAGATGTTCAATAAAGACCTTAAGAGCAAGAGATGAACACTAAGATGGGCAGTAAAGACCTTAAGAACAAGAGATGAACACTAAGATGGGCAATAAAGACCTTAAGAGCAAGAGATGAACACTAAGACGGTCACTAAAGACCTTAAGAGCAAGAGATGAACACTAAGATGGTCAATAAAGTCCTTAAGAGCAAGAGATGAACACTAAGATGGTCAATAAAAACCCAGGGAGCAACAGACGACCACTAAGACGGCCAATAAAGACCTCTGGGAGCAAAAGATGGCACCCCACTGATGGCACTCATCAAGGAACTGGAGGTCTGGGACCAGATTCACGAAAGCACTTACGCAAGCACTTACGAACGTGTACATCTTTCCTCAATCTTTGACGGCTTTGGTTACATTTATTAAACAGTTTATAAGCATGAAAACTTTCCATTCAACTGTTGTTATTGTTATAAACAGCCTCCTGGTGCTTCGGGGCTCATTAACTGTTTAATAATTGGAAACAAAGCCGCCAAAGATTGAGAAAAGATGTACAGGTTCGTAAGTGCTTGCGTAAGTACTTTCGTGAATCTGGCCCCTGGTGTGCTAAACATCGTTGTGATCTCACACTCAACACTTTGATATTTTCTTCTCCTACCACTCCCATTCTTTTTGTATGTGTATATATATACCTAATTTATTTAAAATTTCATTACACAAAATGGGTTACAACATTGGTTACATGCAAGGTACAAGGCTTCTTGTCACAAACAGACGAGGAGTCACAATAACGTGGCTGAAATATGTTGACCAGACCACACACTAGAAAGTGAAGGGACGACGACGTTTCGGTCCGTCCTGGACCATTCACAAGTCGATTGTCGACTTGAGACAATCGAGTCATTCTCAGACAATCGACTTGAGAATGGTCCAGGACGGACCGAAACGTCGTCGTCCCTTCACTTTCTTGTGTGTGGTTTGTTCAACTTACTTGTCACAAGTTGTAGAGCTCCTCCAGCTCCTCAGATGGCGGGTAGGAACCATGGATGCAGTGAGCATTTCCTCTCTGGATCGCCACACTAAGGCGCTGAAAGAGAAAACTGGCGGCTCTAGGGTCTCTAGTTTTTTCAATTAGCTTGGACCCCAACTTTTTAAAAATATTAGCACCATTTTTACCCCAGGCACCAAG